TGATAATACTTCAGATTTCTTTAAATGTCCTCCAAGCCATTTCTGATATTTGCTGCTAGTTCTTTAATTCACCTTGATACTGTTTTTGCCAATAATCTGATCATAGAAAATAATTTTTCTGGACAGACAACATCCACTACCTTCAACTTGCATTCTTTGGAGAACTCTTCATCACTTCAATCTTTCTCTAGTGAAAAACGTTCATTGCTTTGTTAAATCCTTTCTCAGTTGTGCAACTTAGTCATTTTGTGCCTTTCCAGTGAAATTGTCATGATTATCATGATTAGATGTTGTTTAATATTTTAAACTTTCTTCACAGCAAAAGTTTCTTGAGAAATTAAGCTAGCCCATTTTCCAAAGGGCTCAATGAAAAAATAGCTAAGTGTCTAGACTTCATTAAAATTTTTAACACACAAAATCCACTTTCCTTTTCTAAGTTTCCATGGGCTTGTTTTTGTTCAGACAAAAAAACATCCTGGAAAGGAAAGAAAAAAGGGTATGGTAATCAGAATGGAGAAATAAGAAACAATGAGAAATACAGAAATGATATGATAAAATATGATTATTGGGAATAAACTGTGATAAAATCACGATCTCTAACAATGTAATTAGATTAGGGTTGCCATCTGGTTTTTTTTTTGTTTTGTTTTTTTAATTACTTTTGTTCTAATTGTAATAATACTTAACACTACCATAGAAAAAGTAAATAAACATTAATTATTATCAAATGCAGATACCAGCAGTTTTACCCCCAGACAATAAACTCGAATTAAAAACTCTGAGGAGGATACAAAGTAACTTTTCCAAGGATCATGTCTCATTTGATGCAGCTAAAACAGATTATAAAGCACTATCACAGTTGTCTATACCTACTTCCTGCCATGATTATTTTGTTTGAATTGCTCATTAGAATTTTATATTTTGAATTAGTTTTATATTCATTTGACAACTTTAAACATTTATCCGCTGATGTTTTAAATTTGCATGTTGATTTAAATCCCAAGATAATAATTAATCTTTATTCAAACAATTTCTCTTAAATCTTTTATTTCAATTTTATTTTTGTTTTCCACTTGAACTCTTGATGGAAAATTCAACTAAGATTATTTAAGTACTGCCCTGGTAATTGTCACTGTATAAGTGATCTTGTAATGTTTTAAACAAATACAATGCGGTTATGTCACACTATTTGTATTCTGATAAAATAGCCTTTTCTAAGTCAACACTTATCTTTAAATGGATACTTGGCCTTCTTTCTCAACATTCTGGATTTTATTTACATTGATGTACTTACCTTTTTGTCTAAATAATAATCTTGGCTATTAATCAATGTGCATGAGAATTTATAGCTGATAATTATTCTTCTGTCAAGAATTGAGTTTCTACAAACCTCTATGAATGATATCATGATTTCTGAATAATCTTGAAACTTTATATACACACACAATAAGGAGGGGAAAGAATTACAGCAGGCTGTATTTCAATTTACTCCAGATTAATTGTACAAGTAATGTAGCTAGATTACAGTAAATATTAGCCTATCCTTAGTGTTAGTCTAAAAGGGCATAAGCTGACATGTACCCTTTCAGCATGCCTTTTCCATTTTTGGAATGTGTAAACTGATCACTGTAAGATGACATGAACAATATTATAATACAAATTTTTTTTCTAAGTAAGGTCCCAGTTTAAAAAAGAAAAAAAAAATTATATACAATTTTATCTTGGATTTTTTTTAATCATTTCTAATATCCCCCCCCCCCAGCAAAGCAATAAAGCAATTTAGATGCAATGAGTTACTGAGTGTTGAAAGAATATAAGAAAAAAAGACATTAAGAATAGAGAACAAAAGAACAGGAATTAAAAACACAGAAAATAACAGTTGACTTTGTATTTAAATTCTTAAAGATCAAAGTTGACTGTAAAGCAAACATTTATCTTTGAAGAGGTTTTTTCTTATTTCGCAAAAAATGCACTTTTGTCCTTTTTAGTATTATACCAAAGATATATAAATCTGTACATGTGAGTTACATCAACACTATTCAGATTTCATATTAGTATCCTCCTTGGGTGTTAAGACAAGTTTGTACACTTAGATTCATATAATCATACAACAGTGACCCTGATGAAGTCATAATAGTGCATAAAACATCAATCAGTGACTTCAGTGACTTATTCTAGGTGAAGGAATAAAAATGCCAAGTGAAAAAAATTATAATCTGATGGAAGAAGGTTCTGTTTAAAAATATCAACCAGAACCTACAAAATGCTTAGAATGTTATTGGTGTGATTTGAACCCAAAATAAACCTAGTAAAATTTAGTAAATTCAGTACAACTGAAATTTCCCTGCTCCATTTCTCATACCCAAAGAAGTTGCAGTGACAGGATTAATATATTTACTAAAATTCTGCAAAATCTGGACAAAATTAGGAAATGTTATTTTGGTATATAAACCTAGTAAACTTTTTTTTTTTTTTTTTTTTTTTTTTTTTTTTTTTTAACCAAAAAGTCTAGTCCTGAGTACTTTAGGAGCATGAGTCATATTTAATGCTAATAGGAAGTTCTTTGTTTAGGGATAATATCCATCATCATCTACTGACTGGAAATGTATGCAAACCACAATACACAGTCATTTAGTTAATTTGGTAAAGTAGTTGCCAGGACTACACATATATTTCAGAGTGAATTGGCCCAAAATTTGAATAATTTCTCATTGCAAGAGATCTTTATTGCTCTAGCTTTTTCTTCTCTTTTCAGCCTGAAAGAAATACCAACTCACAAACACATTGTTTAATATAGCAATTATTCCTTTCTTTATATCTCAAGATCTTAATGGAAAATTCAGCCAAGAATAATTGTAATCTTTCTGGATGGCCTATACTATTAAATTGTTAGTGATTGTTACAACAGCATTTGTTTTGCTTATAACAAATGTGTTTGCCTTTCGAGTAAGCTTCCAGGAAAACCAAAAACCATGGCTCACTGAATTGTACAAAAGAGTGCCTGAAGAGGTACATTTCAGCAAGTACACAATAAATCAACACCAGACAATTTTATCTGGGGAAACTCAAACGGATGAAAGACACGCCCTGCTTGCAACATGTACTCTTCACCTGGTATTTGATGTTAATGACAAGAAGAGGTGAAAACTGCTATAACAGCTAGCCAGATAATGTGTTTATTGAGTGCCCTGACCAAATGGATGGGCATATTTGGCTCTGTGCCCAGATGGAGGTGCTTAATCATATGACTGCTGATCTGCAATAGATTATTCCATTCATCTTGGACCTGTTAACATGACGAGTTGTATATAGGCTAACTGAATGAGTAAGGTGTCATCCAATCATGTCTCAGATATATACATATATAATTTAAAGAGAGAAAAAGCTGCAAATGTTTTTGATTCTAATGTGGATTTTTTATATACTTTGTTCTATATATTTTGTTACACACGTTTCAGGTCTTGTGACCTTCATCAGGCAAAGAATAGTTATTTTCATATTTTATTTAAAGGAATTAATTTTTTCTTCCTATGTTAAGTTCCCACAAAGGATTGAAGCTTTTGATATTTCATGTTCATACTCACATGTTTGGAAGTGTTTTCATGTATACAATTGTCTTTTTGTGTGTAGTAGTCATTTGAATCCATCTTGGACTGTTCAAAAAAATGTTCCTTTGCTTGAGGGGTAATAAAACAAATTTATGTCCCCATGTGTTTGCTTACCAGTGCATATATATATATATACACACACACACTCTTTCTTCACACATATATATATATATATATATATATATATATATATATATATAATTAAGAAACAATTTAAACAAAGAATTAAATAGCAATGTTAATAATGTGATTAATGGTGAAAATCACTTTGCTAACAGAAATATGTCATTCATCTTTGTATGTGCCTAACAATGACAATTTGAAATTGTTTGGCATGTCTTCCATCTGACAACAACTCAAATCTAAGGATCTTATTATTCAAGGAATTGATAGTAAGTTAATGTCTCATTAAGTTTTGAGAGCAAATTGATTTGCCATTAATCACATTAACTTTGGTATTTAATTCTTTGTATAAATTGTTTCTTTGATATAAAATAAAAGCTGCACACACATTCTCTCTCTATCTCTCTCTCGTATATATATATATATATATATATATATATACTAACTCTGATCCCAAGCATGACTTTTAATATAAACCAGCACTTGGATAACACTCTTTCTGGCTTTGTTGTCACTTGATCTCCAAAAACCCCTCATCTACTTCTTTACTTCCCATTTCCCTTTAGTCAAAGTCATACCACTTAGAAAATTAGACTTCAAAAAGGACCACCTGCTGGCTATTAGACAGAAACACTTGAAATTGAGATAAAATCACTTTGTTTTCTATGTGGGTGTCCATGATATCACAGCCAATAGCAATAAATATCAAACTGGCTTTAGTGTCAGGTTTGTAATTTTATTCTTATACCCATACAACTAAAAATATTTTTTTTAGAATAGACTGATTATCATCAAATATATTAATGTACAACATTCTTTCAAATGACACTGATGAGATTTTTTTTTTTCCCCACAAAGGATTGAAGCTTTTGATATTTCATGTTCATACTCACATGTTTGGAAGTTTTTTCATGTATACACAAGAATTTTGTTTTAAACATAATAATTGTCATTTTTGAGGTTTTATAAAGTTAGAGGTTCAAATAATTCTATATTTGCAAATGATTCTGGAGAATTTATTTTGATTGATGAAATGACAACTTTATTATATTACTCCCATCTCTATGAAAATACCTAAAATACTTTCTGTAAAGGTTAACCGTTACTTATTTTTAGAGAATGTATAAAAGAATCGTTTATAAAAAAAAAAAAAAAAAAGTTATTCAAAAAGACAACCTTAGCTACATACATGTTTGTGAAAATAAAATAATGCTAAGTCATGTAGATATCAGAAGAATTTTTTACTTTATTTTTAATTTCTTTTTTCAGATCTCCAGTTGGCAGCTGAAATTGGCAAAGCCTTGTTAGAAAGAAATAAAGAACTGGAAAGGGAGACAATCCAGTTACAGAGCATCAATGGAGAACAAGCCTTGGAAATTGATGTAAAAAAAATTTTTTTTTAGTTTTTTAATCCTTCCAACTTCAGTATAATAATAAATTGAACAATTTTGATAGTTCTCAAGAATTTTCTATGAGGTTCATGGAATGTCATTGTAAATAAGGTTTTTATGTAGCATTGTATTGTGTAAATTAAGTATTTGTTCATTCTACAAGTAGATGTAGAAACCTTATATCGATTATTCTCATTATTAACCTTGTTGTATGAACACTGTTTCTAGTTGGTCAGTTTTTGAAGATGAATTTTTAATTTAGTATAACTTTAGAGATTACCAATAGATTCTGCAGTCTACAGCATACAGAACTGCAGCCATATTGACTTAAACCATTTTGTGCCTGGTATTGTAATAGATAGGTTATGAAATTTGATTTCTTTCATATTTTCTCAGTCCAGCCATAGTCATTAATCTTGCATATCATATTCTGCCCCTCCCTTTATTACTTGGGCACTTATATATTCTCTATGCTGTAGCTATGCTAATTAGGCAGTCATTTACATATCACTACAATATATAAGCAAATAATTGTTAAAAGTGGCTGTTTATAGGGTATATTACAATACTTAGAATCATAACCTGACATGCATACAATTGAAGATGTATTACTTTATTTAGTTTGCATATGTGTAAAAGATATATAGATATGCAGGTAATGTAATGGTTAACAAGTCTGAAAGAGAAATTGGCAACCTGTGTTCAAATTCCAACCAATTCATTATGTTCACTTTTACACACATACCCTTGAGAACCGTATGAATCCATCTCTTCTTCCTCCAGCTATAGGTTAAATATCAGGACTGAGTGGACTCTCTTGACTAGAGGTGCCAACCAATCTCAGAGGAAAACTCTGATTTCAAAACCAGCCTGAAGAGGGACAGGTTCCATCATCAACCTAATTTGCCCTAACCACATTACTGCCACTATGACTGCAATAGATATGGTGCTCCAATGACCCCCATGAGATATGGGACTCATGATGAGACAATAGAAAAGTTTATTTTTCAAAGTAATGACACTTGTTGCTGAATAGATCCATATAGATATCATTGTGCAAAAACATATTACAAAAGAAAAGCCACTATTGCTATATATATATATATATATATGAAGAAATATAGTCTTAAGGTGTGCTATATTTATGTGAGAAAGTGCTCAATGTCAGAGATAGAGCGTGTGTAAATATAAAAGTGAACATAGAAGTCAACACTTAGAGGCGACAATCTGTTTCATGCCTGACGATTGCATATAGCATGAAACAGACTGTCGCCTCTAAGTGTTGACTTCTATGTTCACTTATATATGAGTTATGACTTTCTGCAAAACAACTGATTCCCAGTATCATAATTCAATGAACTTTTGATAAAAAATAATGAAGAAGTGTTAAATTCACTTAATTATTTTAAAAATGTCACGCCAACACAAAATTTCTAAAATCATAGTAGTACTATAACTTTTTGGAGCCTTCTGGAACTTTATGGAATCTTCTAGAATTTGTTTTTGCCTTGCTATAGCTATAAATTGTTAAATGTGTTAAAAATAGATAAGTACTATCCAATTAATACAGCTTCTTTTTTTTTTTTTTTTTTTTTTTTTTTTTCTTTACCCTTATTGTGTATATAGTAAAATTGAATTTTCAGTTTGGGGTGAACTTTTTCTAGAACTGAAACAAATTAATGCCTTTTGCATTACTTTTGAACAAAAGTTCATCAATTTATGATGCAGGAATATAGGGTTATGAAGAGTCACAACCCTATTGTGTGTGTGTGTGTGTGTGTATATATAAGTGATGAGACAATTAATTGGCATCGAGAATCATAAACATAAGGATTTTGGGGGTGTCAGATTCAGCCATTAGAAACAAAATTTTTAATCTAATTTCTGACTCCAAAAACTTTTTAACTCAATTTTACTAATGATAAAAATGATATAAATATTTATTGATTTTAAACTATCAGTAAAACTAAAATCTATAGATCATAATAGCACCTAAGTATGATGTAAATTTATTTCACTTGTGTAAATAAAAATGAAATGTGCAAGTGTCTACTCAGTTCTCAAACTTTCCATAAAGTTCACTAGTTTAAAGTAGGTTTCAATTCAAAATAAAATTTTTGTTTTTAATTTCTTTCTAAACATTAATTCACCCATTTAATGTTATAAATTATTAATTTAATTATTATAATTAAAATTATGTAATATAAAAACTATAGTTCACGTTGTTCTGCTTGTTCTTTTTAAAACCAATTTTTATTTATAAAAAAGAAAAAGAAGCATTGTCTGCATTTAAAAAAAAAAAAAAACTAGAATCTTATATAAAATTTTATATACTTAGGATCGTATTATATAAAACTTTATTTTAAAACGCAAATTTTCAATTATTCTTGAGTAGAATTTAATAATAAAATTCCATAAAAGGAGTTTTGGTCAGCACTTAATCCAAAGGATTGTATAAGGGTAGTGGTAGGAGTTTACATTTCCTTTGGTGAGAATTACATACAATAGGGAGTTACTTTTCAATCAATCTGTATATTGCATTAAAAAATATAAAAAGTGATGTTTTTCAATGCTTGAATTCAAATAAAAATGAATTTCCCATCATGATGCTTTTAGCCAGGAAATATTATCTATCAGCACCAACCTCTTCTTTTGAAATTGAACAGTTATTTAGTATTGGAGATGACATTTACTTACCAAAAAGAAATTGGCTGAAAAATGAATCAGGAGAGGTGATAATGTTCTTGCATTATAATTGAAGAATTTTAGGACTTAAATATGAGTAGCCAGGTACTTAAGTGATTTACTTAAAGAAATTGTTCTTTTATTGTTTAAACTCTTACCCAATTTTTTAAAATAAAAAGGATATCTAACTTCATAAGCTTTTGTATTCATTTTTCTACCAAATGTTTCAATAAATGTACTTGTTCATTAAGTTTCTCAATTTGTAGGACCTGAAAATAATTCATTTTAATCATTGTAGGTATCGGAATCAGTAAAAATATGGATATCGTCCCATCACACACACACACACACACACACACATATATATGAGAAGATTGTTCTTTGTAAATATCAGTCAATGTGTCACTTGACAAATATCCCAAGTATATATTGTTGCTGAGGTGGAAATGTGTAAGCTGAAAGACAGAACCTTGTTACTGTTGTGGAGGTTAATTCCTTCTCTGCCTTGGCAAATGTAAAATCAAGTGTCAAACAAAAGACATTTTAGTAAGTGTAAATGAATAAATGTATAATTTATTTACATATATACAAAGAATGGTAACTTCTATCCATTGCTTTTGCTAAGGCAACAAGTGAGAGAGTGGTGAAATGGACACTTGGTGGTGGTCATGTCATTGGTAGTCTCTCTATCTCAATCTCTCTGTCAGCATGTTGGTGTTGACATCGAACTCTGGTCTGTTGCATCTTGGTGTTAACATGAAAGGCTGGTCTGTGAAAGGTCTTTTTGAATTTGGGCATATAGTTTTTAGTTGGCTCAAAATTAATGTTTTGATTTTTGAGTTGAAATGGCTCTGACTTGTCATATATTATTAACTATTTTCAGAAATCATTAATCCTTTTTATAAATGTTTCAGTTTTGACTGACAGGATTCTCACTTCTAAGTCAGTCCCATTTTTAAAAAAAATAAAGTCACATAACAAGACACTTTATGCTGTGTATGACTTAACGGACTCCTAATTTTAACAATGATTTTCAATCTGTACTAGCGAAGCACAATGTTGCTTAACTTCTTATATTAGTTGAAAACCAATGAAAGTTATATTTCAAGCTCTAAATATTAATTGGTTTTCTTACGCTCTCCACTCACAGCTCAAAACAAAAATTCTTTCTTTTGATCAATAGCGGCAGGCTTTCAATAAATGGCATATACACACGTATGTGCACACACAGACATTGTTTTCTGCCTATCATAAACTAAATTGAAATGCAAATCATTCATGGCCTTCCTTGCTCAGCAATACAACTCCAGGGAAGCATTGACCCTGTGGTGGAGTAGTGGTTACAAAGTATAGAGTTTAGGAAACAATTTTTGAACTAATGAATCTTTAAACTGTTTAGTGGTATTGTTCCTAATTATTATGCTATTAATAACAATAAATGATAATTAAATTAAAAAAAATATAATAATAAAACAACACCTTAATTTCAGAGCGGTTTAAATTTGGAGGGGGGCACAAGGATGAGAAAAGTTTGTCTGGAGCTCTGCCCACAATCTCGGAAGCAACTCCCATTACCATATTTTCATCCTATTCATAATTATTTTTTTTCCATATATTTTTCTCTCTATTGTCAAATGTTCCTTGATATTATTACCAACTTGGATGAACAGTTTACAGCATAATAGCTTGTGTTCCTGTCTGCTTGGATTTAAATCAATAACTTGCAGTTTCTATTTGTGCAACTGTTTTATCTACACATCAACAAGGGAACTGGTCTATTTACAATAAAAACAATGAGATGTCAAAATGGAATTACCCTCCTCTGATTCCTAATTTTTCTTCAGTAATCACAAAGATGGGAAAATTAAAATAATTGGACAGTCCTGATAGTTTACTTTCACTTTCTACCTGCCCTCCCCAAAGAGATGATGGTGCTGAAAATTTGTCAGCCCAACCAAAAAGGGATTACAAAATAAGTTTTGATGCCTAGTTATTTGATCAGATTTTAGCAATTGGCTGAGAACTATTTAGCATTCTTCCATATATTATTTCTCAATTATTTTATCTTTTTTTTTACCTCCTCCATATAAATAGTAATTATTTTCTTTCCCAATAAATTCCATATGAGAATATTATTACCATAAAATTATCTCCCTCCTTTTAAAAAAGAAAAAAAAAATAGCCCCGTTTATTTTACACTATCTTTTACAATCTTATGAAATGATTCTCTCCAAATATTGTTTGTAAACAAACTCCTTTCATCAAATATTTATATTAAAGATACTGCAATATTAAATATTTATTACACACATGAAAGCCTTCTTAACTTCAAGAAGCCTGTGTCTTAATCTATTTATCTTTGTGAATATTAATTGCTTTTAAATAATTAACAACATTGTTGGTCATGGAAGTTAGAAATCAATTATTCATCACCTCTTTTAATTTTGTTTCAGTATCTCACAAAACAACTGGAAGCTTTGCGACAAGTCAATGATTCTCGTATGCGTATTTATGAAGAGTTGGATAAAAATGTTCAAGAGCTTGAGAAAAACAATCAGAGATTGGTTACAGATGCCAGGGCTGGAAAACAACGCATAGAAACGTGAGTTGCCATCATCATGAATGAGGCTACATAGTCTTTTCTTTTGTGTGTATTTGTGACAAATGTAGTTAATTTCTAAATACCATTTACTTTTCATGATCATTATCTATAGGCATCCTCTATCTTTACCATGACCTTTTTTTTACTTATCTAAGCATATAATTTTCTTCCATTTATTTATATAGGAATCCATCTTTAACAGGTAAATACACTTTAGGCCAAAGGTTTGAGGCCACTCTCGAGATTTCAAAGAATTGTCAAATTGTATATCTTTTTCAAAACTAATTTACTAACTCACTTCAGGTCAGAGGGACTTTCTTTTCCTGAATGCTTTTATCATATATTCAATAATAATAATGACAAAATTAATCCATTCTTACATAAAGTTTCCTTAAAATCATCTCTCTTTTTGCCTAATCTAACTTGGTGACTACTTGGAAAAGCTGTGAATCCACCTCCTCTACCTCCAGCTATGGGTTAATTAGTAGTACTTATATCACTAAATCATTATTATCTCCAAATGTTACAATCTAAAATACATTTTCTGGCTTCAAATAACTGGCAAAAGGTTGATAAGCTGTGAAAAATAAATTCTCCACACTGGCTGGCTAAGGATAATCTTAAGGCTGGTGGATTTTAAATTTTAGAATCTCTCCAAAAAATTGGATTATTAGGTTAAATAGTTTCAGTATCCTAGTTTTGTAGGAGTTAATTAAACCAAAGAAGCCATGAAATTTACTAATTATTAAATCTAGAGGATGGCTACAAACTTATGGCCTATAGTATAGTCTACCGATGTAAATACATTTTAGCTTACTTTTACATGTCCTCCTTCTGATTTAAGGAACTTTGTTAATATTCCTTTTTATGTCTGTCTGTACATTTTAGCTTACTATTACATGTCATCAATCTGATTTAGGGAATTTAGGGAAAGTATTTCTTTTTTTTTTTATGTCTGTACCTGTCCTGATTTTTAACATAAACTTAAGTCACAGTATAAACAGTCTTGTGGACTTTAGATGTCTGTAATTCAATTGCAAGGAAATTCTGGAACTTTTTTTTTTTTTTTACTGTTGTCATTTAAATGGAATGTTAAGCAAAGCTTGATTTCCAATTTTATTTTTCTGCTTCTCCAAGCCACACAGGTAAACATACATGCATGTAATAGCAAGATAACCTCATATTAGGACAAAAACTTTTGAAATTAAAATTCAAAGTTTATTTACTAGCACTACTAATCTTATATGAGTGGGGTGTATTTTAAGGTTGATGTTTTACTGTGTGGGTCTGTCTAAAGCTGTAGAAACTGCAGAAATCTTTAATGTTTCCAAATTTAGAATCTATTATTCATGAGTCAGTCTGTTTTTTTGTTTTTTTTTTTTCCTCTATAGTGTCTGCCATCCTGGGTATGATGATAAACTACGTCCAACAGCAAGTCCTGAACAGGAGGTTTTGAGGAGCAATGAATCACCTCTTAATTGCTGGTGTTCCCAGGTCTGCCCTGACCCAGGGTGATAGCACCTGTTAGGGTTCCAGCTATGGGCAAATAGTTAACTCTGAAACTGGGGTAAAAACACTATGAAAGTGTAAAAATAGGTTTTAATACCAGAAATACTTTGGAAAAAATTTTTTCCAGCAATAAATTTTTGAAGAAAAAAAAAAATATTACCAGCAACATAGTTTTTGAAAAAAATATTACCAGCAATAGGTTTTTGGAAAAATTTTTTACCAGTAACATTTTTGAAGGAAAAATGTTACCAGAAATAGATTTTTGACAAAACAAAATATTACCAGCAATAAAAATTTTGTTACCATTAAATAACCCATTGAGGTTGATATGCTGTAAAACAAAACTAACCAAACCGATACTGTCTGTTTTTATTGTTAAAACAAAATATAATTCCAAATATTTATCAGATTCAATTAACAATGAGTGTTCAGCTTTTTTGAATAAAATCCATAACAATATTGTAACCAATAAAAATTCACAATATTTGTGCATGAATTGTTTTAGTAAACATTTCTTCTTTTTTTATTCTTTATTTTATATTTTACTATTAGTTATTTTGAAGGGGAAGCACTTGAGTTTTTTAAGATTATCCCATTAATTTCAACCAACTCAACAAGATGAACAAAATATTGGGCATTTATAGGCTGACTATGAAGGAGTGATACTAGAGCTGTGAAATCTTGCATGCATTAATTTCAACTTGTCTTATTAATAACTGCATTGTTTCTTTCCATGTAAACTGACATCTGATTGTTCAAAGAAGACTTCAAAAGTAATTAGTAGTGTCTTCTCTTGAAAATGGACAAAATTTGACATTGTGGTATTAACAAGTACTTGCAGAAAAAGGGTTGAGCCCCCAAGGTCATTCATGTTGACATGGTTTCTACATTAGGGGATGATGCTCCCGCTTTATCAACAGTCAAAAGTTGTCAGTTGAATTTAGGAGGGGAAGGGAGAGTCTTGAAGATGACTCAAGGTCTGGATGTACTGCAACAGCCACAACTGAGGAAACATTAATCGTGTTCACCATATTGGTGATGGATGATAGGCAATTGGCTATACGTCAAGTAGTCAATGCAATTAGCATATCCTGTGAGCGAGTTAAGAATATTCTGTACATTGATCTTGGTATAACAAAGGTTTTCTGTTTGGTGAGAAAAAAAACACTTGGTTGGGAACCAGTATTGCAGTGATGATGATGTCATATCTGCTGTTGATGACTTTGACCAACAGGATGAACAGTCTTCTTTGAACAGTCAGATGTGAGTTTACCTGGAAAGAATGCAGGTATTAATAAGAGTTGAAATGAATGCACACAGATTTCACAGCTCTAGCATTATTCCTTTATAGTCAGTCTATGAAATTTTCAGCCCAGCCTCGTATGTCTACAAGGCTTTCTCTTCTATCATTTGAATGAATTTATACTTTTTCACTTTTCAAACAATGCTTTTCAACACAAAAATATTTAAAGTAGAAGTTATTTTGGTTTTGTTAATACAATCTTTTTCTCTCTCAAATAAAAAAAAAAAAAAAAACCTTTTAACAAGTGGTTTTTTAACTTTTGGGATGTTAAACTTGTTTTGTATCCTTTTTAATAGATTTTTAATCTAAAGAAATTGTTTAGCTTTTTAGTTTAAGAAACACTTGAAAATTTGATTTCCAATTTTTTTGCTTTCTTGTAACCTAGTTTTTTTTTTTTTTTTTTTTTTTTTCTTAATCATATTGTTTTCTGTACATTTGACTTTGTTTTTACAAATGAACAAATTGTGTTAATCTTTATTCATAAGAGAAATGTGAGGAAATAACTATCAATGTTAACATAAAATGTAGAACCCTTTTGTTTCTTGTCTGTCAATGATGATCACTTTACAATGAATTGTATGAATTTTAAAAGTAAAACTGTTCTTTTGAAGAGAGTTTTTACATTAATCTGTCTCAGATTACCTAAACATTTTTCTTTATCTCAAAATAGTTATTTCACCGTTGTCCCTTGTGTTTCTTTATAACTGTGACTTGTTTATAAGATTTAACCTCTATTTCATTTGGTCCTTTGTAGACTAAAATTAAAACTTGGCAGCAGAAGTTGATGCTTGCTTTAGCATCTTATTGATATTGGCTAACAATGCTAGACATTGATTTTAACAGATGGATGAGCATAATCAAGAAAAGACTGCATCTCTTCCAATTACAAATCTCTCTCTCTCTACTTAGAGAGACAGACACACACACACACATATATATATATATATATATATATATATATATATATATATATATATATATAATGATGGGGCAGAAATCTATCAAAATGAAATTATTTAAGCCAGTTAAAAACTGCTAATTTAACAGACCTAACAAGTCAATATTGAAATGCTATTTCCTTACAATTTTGTAAGGAAAAATAAGAATTTCGATAGTTTAGAAAGCGCAAATATTTAGCATAGTTTAATGATATGTATTAGCTGAAAAACAGATTTGATTTTACTAACTTTGATTGTATTGTTGCTTCTACCAACTTTATATATTCAAATATTTTTGTAACATGTGGATCTTTTTTTGTTTTTACCTTTTTACTTTTTTCTTAACTTATTTGATTTTTTTTTTTTTTAATTTACATGATTTTAAATCTAATACTTTAAAATTTCTAATGATACATAAAAAGAAAAATCAAATTGACTCTAAAAAGGTAGTTGCTTTTTTTTTTTTTTTTTTTTTAATAATGATGTTCACCCTGTACACGGCCCTAGAGCCACTCCAGCTAGATGGCTACAGAGTAAGAGGCATAGGTTATGTGAATATGTGGGGAAGTTAATGGTTAACCCCAGACTTGACTTAAGATTGTAGTGACCGGGGAAGCATCCTCTTCAGAGTCAGTTCCACAAAGCAGAAGTTCATGGAAAGAAGCTGCTTGAATGGAATTTACATCTCACCAATGGGAATGAGAGTAGTTTGCTACAATGTGTGTGGCATGGCATGTCTTAACTGGTGGAACAAAGAATGTAATTTGTCTGAACACTTTCCATTAAAAAATAGCAATAGAGAAGCAAGAGGCTTGTGATGTTTCGTCTGTGGAAAAGGAGTTGTAGAGTGGGAAATAATTTCTCACTTACAAATACACAGACAACTTTGGACTCTATTAAAACTGGAAAGTGAAAACTGGGCATCAGTACTCCATTTTCAGCCTGGCTGTTGTAAAGATAAAGGATAGCAGGAAGAGTCAGGTACCTACTGGAGCAGTAAAGGGAACCAACCACTGGGTCTGGGTTGTTTAAGTCCCAGTAAGCACTCAAGGTACAGGTTCTCACTGAGAGAACACCTGTTCACCGTGATAGATTAAAATAAGTCTTATTCTACACGGTCTTATTCTACACGGTCTTATTCTACACGGTCTTATTCTACACGGTCTTATTCTACACGGTCTTATTCTACACCGTCTTATTCTACACCGTCTTATTCTACACCGTCTTATTCTACACGGTCTTATTCTACACCGTCTTATTCTACACCGTCTTATTCTACACCGTCTTATTCTACACCGTCTTATTCTACACCGTCTTATTCTAAGCTTAATGCATTTGAGGTAAGGTTTACTTGTCGAATAGTGTTGTGAATAAGAAAGCAACTGCAAATTGTCAATTAAGCAATTTTGTTTAAAAATGACATACTTGGGTTTCAACATAAATATTAAATGCTTTCTAATGTTTTTCATCTGAAAAACTTGGCATGCCAACTATCTGAGAAATGTTAATTGGACATTTGAAGAAAGTGGTTGTTTGTTGCACTCATTTTCATGGCTTAAGTTCGGTTTCTTTTCCTTAGAACAATGTTTATTTTATTTTACTTTTTCTCCCTACTTACTGCAAGAAAATATGAATAGACCAAGTAAAAAAAAAAAAATTAAAAAAATCCTAAAAAGAATGAGGAAAGAAATTCTATGCAACTTTATTCCTTTCAATAATTATGTAAATTTGATTCTCAAATTCATTTTTCCATCCAACATACTCTGTTCTTTAAGAATCACAGTTCATTTTACTATTGGTCTCCATCAAAGATCGACAAAATGTTCCCATGAAGGTTTTTTTTTTTTTTTTTTTTTTTTTATATAAATATAGAAAAAAATTTTTTTTTTTTTTTTAATTATTTCATCCTGACCAAGCTGATAATGCCACTAGAACGCAGGGGGCTTCATGGAATGGAATTAAACAAGAAGATTGAAAATGAGAAGGATTGACAGATGGCGATTTATGTTGCATTTAAATTTTTGAAGATTGTAGTTATCAGGGAAGCAAGAAATTGGAAGGGAGTTCCACAGGTGGGGAGTGTGAGAAAAAAATGTTAGAGTAGAAATGATGGTTGAATCTAGCTAGTTGACAATCTAGTAGGATGCTTAAATTCATGTAGTCAGAGCACCAGATAAAAAGCTCATCCAAGCAGTTACTATGAAAATATTTGTAGAAAAGGCAGAGGGAAACTGTTACGTTGGTGAGAAAAGGATTGGAGACGAGATGCCTGGTCAGGATTGATTGTATTGCAGACCCATACTTGGATTTTGCCAAGAGTCATGAGATGCACAGTAGGAGCACCAGACCAGATATAGCAACTGTATTCAATGCATGGACGAATAGCAGATTTATAAATGTGCCAAGATCGACTCTAACAAACAAAAATTTGGGGTATGACACAGTGAACCAACCTTTCCTTCAACAGATATAGCAATTGACTCGATATAGTTGCTCCACTTTTTGTCGGTGGAAAACGTGAGGCCAAAAAGTGTGGTGTCACTCTCTTGGAGTTCAGCATCAGCCATCCTGATGGTTGGCAGACATGGTTTTCATCTTTGTACTCTTTATTTCTGTCTTGAATAGATTGCTATTTCATGTAACAAAACAATTTTATTTCATGGTCATTTTTTAAAAAAATTGTGTGCACTTACAGGTAGCATAAAATTAACTGTGCTGCACTTTACCTACCCCTTGTCTACATCTCCTACACATCTCTCTCTGTATCCAGGAAGTTTTTGCCAGGCTCTTTTTTTATTATTATTATTATTATAGTGTGTAAAAGGTGCTTTTAGATCTTTAATTCGATATCTTTTCTTTGGTGTTTGATATGACTTCATCATGCATTTTTACAATAAGAAATTGGGTTGATTTTCAAACTGATTTTAGGTCATAAATATCTGAAAAGAATTGTTTTGCTTACAATAGAGCCTTACAGCTGTTGCGTGTAAAATGTTAACAAGGTTGAACAGGCTTTATTTTATTATGAAATGTCAAAACGTCTCTTGTGTCTTTCATTTTTGTTCTAATTAATTTCATTATTAAAGTACAAAATGCAGTAAAAGTTATTTTTGTTTGTCTACTATAAAAAATGCTCTGTCTGATAGCTGATTAACATTAAAACAATTATGAAATTTAGGAATACAGTCCAGTATTAATCCACCAAAGTGTTAAAGTGATAATAATGAAACTTAAAAAAAAAATCTATAAGACGCAGACATCTGTTAAAAACAGGGCAGGGCCTCAACTATTGAATGGTACAGGAGTCAAAACATGTCATTAAATAAGTGAGAGATGTGATTTCACCTTCAGTGTATATTGTTCCTTATATGGTCGATATTTTTTATTTTATCTTTTAATCAAAGTAACTTTGGGCTTGCTTGTAAATATCATTGGATTTTTACTCCAAAAAGAATAGTGCAGGAAATCATTGCCATTAAAGACGGGCAAAAAAAAAAAAGAAGCTTTTTTTTTTTTTTTTCTTGAAAATTAGCATAAGTATTAAACATGAGTTTGCCTTAAAATATTAATACTACCCAACTGTGTCTAAATATCTTTATTTAGAAGATGCATTATTATTTTAACTAGTAATTTTATTGAAGTAATTATTAGGTTAAAACAAAATAAATGGTTGTTTTTGTATCGAAAATCAAAGCATTTAGACTTTTGCAATATTCCCTTTTGTTTATGTATGCAACTATATAAAGCTCGTCTTTCCAGTGTAGTTTGGATTTCTTTATCGTTTTTTTTTTTTTTTTTTTTTCATTAGCTATAAAAGCAAACATGAATAAACACACTTTTTGTGTCATTATGCTGGCCACTGTGCTGCTAAAGCCACTGTGTAACATCAAATGTTTGGAAACTGGAGTCTGCTTTGGAATGTTTCTTTGAATTATTGGTTTCCAAAACTAAAATGAGTGTAGTCATTATTGAAATGGTTGAACAATGAATTTAGGGCAACTGTGGAGGCTCATTCAAAAATAAACACTTGAGTATTTGGGAGTGAAGTGTGGTGAATAAAACAGTTCAAAGCTCTGTAGACACAAATCGACAAAAATGAAGAAGTGGTTATCTCATGATTTGACTGATGATCAGCAGCCTGCACAGTTTCACATAGCTTTATTTGGATTAACAAATATCCTTCCCCGCTAAGACTTCATAAAACAAATGATTTACTGCCTAAAGACAGTTTGCTTTAGCCAGCCTCTAACAACCGGGTCAGTTTGTGGGTGAGATGCATCAAAAGTTGAAAATATTTTGACTAGCAATGGTGAATAAAAAAAATCAAAAAAAAATCTAACCCACTGCAGATAGTGCAAGATTTCATACTTCACAAACTATCAGGGCAGAACATGCAATTAAGTATTAGCATCCTGCTTATTCAATGGAATTGTTACTTGATAATTACTTTTTATTTTTTATTTTTTTTTTACTTTATATAATTTTATATATATAAATCCTCTTTTATAAAAGTTTTATTAAGGATAACTGAGAAGGTACTATGATTATATTGGATATGCCACCACATGCTTATCAAGAAGACTCACATTACATCTTTCAGATCATAGCTCAATTAGAACCCATTTAAACAGCATGGAAACCTACCAAACTCTGCCCACAGCATACTTTTAGAAAATACAATCATGATAGCATCAGCCGCATGTTAAAAAAAAAAAGGGGGGGTGGGGTGCTAAAAATAATGGAAGCATTAATAATAATAAAAACAAATAAAAGTAAAAGCCATCACTCAATAATATCAACTATGAGCATGGCTACATCATGCTGACCATTCTTGGAAAATAAAAAAAAATAAAAATTTTCATCACTATAGATACACATATAAAAATTTACATATTTAGTTAAAAAAAAAAAAAAAATAAATAAAAAAAAAAAATCCTTAATAATGACTAATAGAATAGTCGAAAGCATTTGGATATGCATTGTAGAAGATTTTGCACCGTTTTTAAACACTTTATAGCCAGTATAATGATTGCAAGAAAAATTGAATAAAAAAAACTTACTTGCAGTACTTTGTCAGTCATCTTTAATTTTATATATACATACATATATATATATATATATATATATATATATATATATATATATCTCACTTTAAACATTATTTTCAGTGGATACCCCTATTTGAGTAGGTGCTCCATTTATTTATTAACCAGTATATTTGGTTAAAAACTTCTGTTTTTATTGTGATAGAAGGAATTCACTCCTAGATCATCAGAACCATTTTAATAACAAAAGGAATCACTATTAAAAAAAAAATTTATTTTTTTTAATAGATTTAATAGTTCATTGATTCACATGTTAGAGGACCCTATATTGACCAATTAATTACAAGTGTGTGTGTATATATATATATATATATATATATATATATATATATATATATACACTTATATGTTGTGAACAATAAAGGTCACAGTTGAATATTTTACATAATTCTAATTAAAATAAATTTGAAAACAAGACTATTTCTATGCAATATTCTTTTGTCTTGGAAGGTTGCTGGAGTCTTTATCTGGAATGGAAATAAAGAATGAAGAACTACAAAAGAAGATCGATGAAATGGTCACTACTGAACGTCAGCGGGAAAAAGCTGAGCGTCGCAAAACAATGAGTGTTCCAAGCTTGCATGAAATTAACTATGAAGACTTCTTTCCAACCAGTTTTCCTTGTTGGTCTAATAACCAATACAAACAGGGCCTTCACTTAAATCCATATGAGACAGAAATCCGAAAGCTGCAAGATACGGTACGAAAATTACGAGTTCAAGAAACTATTGAGAAACGAAAGCGTGAGGAGTTTGAAATTGAGGTAAGTTAATTCTCTCACATCTTTACTTTTATTATATATCCATAAAATATCTGTTATAATTATGTGCTCCAAAGAGTTTTTATTTTATTGTTATTTATTGCTAAGGAATTAAATTTTTAAAATCCTAAATCTAATATTGCTTGCTGCATGATGTGTGTTGGAGCAAAAAGTAACTTTCATTACATAGATTCAGTGGCAAAGTTTAACATGCATACCTGCAAAAAAAAAAAAAAAAAGTGTTATAAGAAGGGTTTTTCTCTCAACACTGCTATTACTGTATACTCCAAGGTCATTTTTATTAAAAATCTGCTTTTAGAATTTTAATAAAACCCAAAGATATGAAACTATTTTTACATTTTTTTTTTCTTGAAAATTAACATAAGTATTAAATGTATGTATTAAGCATAAGTATTAAACAATATTCTTGTAAATAAACAGACTAAAAGTCTAACATTTTTCTTGTCAATTCTCGAGAAAAAGAAAGTATAAAACCCATTTTTTGAATTTATGTGGTGAGAGTAAATTTAAGAAATGCCTGGAAAATGCATTTTTTTTTTTTTTTTTTTTTTTCAAAATTTATTAAGAGTTATTAATTATTTAAGAGTTTATTTAAATTTTCTCATTCACTTAGTTAAAGATTTTGATAAATAAAAAAAAAAAAAATTGTTTTGCATAGTTATCTCTTTATAATATAGTAAATAATAAACATTGCTTTGTCATTGGTTCATATATTTTTATAAACTTGTAAATATAAAATTATTCTTGTAAATAAATAATACAATAAAATAGCATTTAATTCTTTAATAGTGGTCTACTGTGTATACTTTTTAAAAAATAAATGCTAAAGAACTCTGGATTCTTTTTATTTTGATACATGTATATTGGCTCTCACTAAGGTAGAGCACTATTAACCTTTACTTTTTAAAAAAATTTTAAAAAATATGGAAAAGATAAATTTTGGTAAAAGTAAATCATTTTTTTCAAAAGTTATTCGTCATTGCTTGAAAATGAAACTAAACTTAAAATTTAATTTAAGATTTAGGTTTTGGTTTTGAAATATAATTTCTGAGTTGTGATGAAAACATATTTTTAAATAATAATTATAATATTATGCTCTACTGAGTATTGAGCACTGTTTTTAAAAATAAATGCTAAAGAACTGATTGTTCTTTCTTTTTATTTTGAGATATATAGAGTAGTGGAGTAATGGATAGTGGCTAGGATCGAGAAATCTGAGAGCAAAGTTCAAATTCCAGTCAAATCCATTACATTCACTTACATGCTAATAGCCTTGGGAAAGGTATGAATCCTCTTCTTCTCCCACCAGCTATGGGTAAATAGCAGAACAGACTGGGTTCAATGGCTTTGGATGGCAACTGGTCTACCACAGAAAGAAATGGCAACCTACTGCAGGGAAAAAAAAATCTGCCTCCTCAGTCATGTGTCGAAAGATACATGATTGACTAAGCATGGCACATAACTGACTTATATGTATGTATGTATATGTATATATATTAGTAGTGTCAAGAGAAAAACCGTCCCTTTGGAACACCATTTTTTGGGGGTGATATGTATGTCAAACATTGCTGTTTCTGCAATATTTTTGTCCCCAATAAATTTTAAAATATTTTAACTCTTAAGGAAATATTTAGAATATAATATATTCCCAACACTTTTTTATACATTTTTGGGTTTTTTGTAACTTAGAGTGCTTGCCTTTCTATAAATGGTTGATTTGAAAAGAATTGTTTGTGTTTATAAAATAAACTGGCATACAGTGTGGCATGTGATAAACTGTTAAAAAATTTTTTTATATTTTGCCTGTTTAAATCCTCAAATATGTTTTGAGTTTATAATCCATTATCTTCAAGTGATAAAGTATGGTGTTTTGCCTCCAAAATATTTCTGTACAGTAGTCTTACTTCCAAAACTTCTTACATAGAATTCCTTCAGTTTGATCTCAGCGAACAAATCAAACTTGATGCCTTCCACTCTTGTTTAATTGCGGACAACAAAAACTCGGTCTATTTCTTTACCTCTATTTCATACACTTAGACATATAAGATCATAAATGAACATGACCGAAAAGGTATTGGCCAGATGTGAAATTTAAATTAATTTGAATTGTGATAATCTGGCTTTTCAACTTTCTAACAAGAAAATCTTTAACTGGGAAATTGAAGAAAAATCAGATGAGTCTTTTTTTCATGATTTTTCTTAGAATTAATTGAAGATCTCATTTTTGATGCAGTTTTTAGAACAAATATTTTTACTTTTTTTTTTTTTTTTTTTTTTTTTGAGAATTCGGTTAATGTTTACACAAGGCCATGAAATGCTTATTGAAAGATAAATTTGCTTATAATGGCTTGAAACAAGCACCATTACTTACCTTATATTGCTTGTTAGAATAACATTGCTTCATTTTAAAAAATTTTACCAAATACAATAACATACTTTTTATTTGAGAAATTATTTTAGTTATTTTAAAAGTGATAATTATTTGGCTTACATATTCTCTTTTCTAAAAACATTTAATATTTTTTTAATGAAGGAAAATAATAAATTTGTCTTGATCTTAGTCTGAATTTCTGGGATGAGTTATCATTATTTACACTATTTACATTTGGACTATTGTCATCATCTTATAGTTTGAATGTAAATAGTGTAAAAAAAAAAAAAAAAGTCCTGATTTTAGATTGCTAATTTTACTAAACAATTTATACATTTTTAGTTATTGGAGAAATTCCTCTTGAAATAATATTTAATCATATTATATGAAATAAAATTTATTTTTAATTAGATATGTAAATATTAAATTTTTCACTACCAGAAATTATTATAGAAATCATTGATTAGATTTTTATCTGTTTAATGTAGAAATATAAGGCAGTGATTATTGTTTTGTTCTTGAAATTAAATTCTTGAGTCATGTATCCTGTTGTTCAAATAAACTTTACCTGTCAGGTTCAGACTGATTTTCTTTTTAATTTATTCTTATTAAGAAAACTTACATTTTGTCTATTTTATAGGTGAACGTTTTTGTATCCCATATTGGCTGTTCACGTCTTCCAACGCTAACCATTGTGGTCATCTTCAAACTGCTGTATGGCTATAGATGTCCTTATTGTGTGTTTGTCGATGTCACGTGAGCTACCAGGAAGACATTGTATACTATTTGACAGTGATGTTTTCCATCACACTCAAATATTATCGCTTAAGATGCCTCCTGGTTTTTAATTTTGTTTTTATTAATAGCTTCTCAACTTAAAATTGGTTGGTGTGCTCAGTTCTAAACTGTGGGCATTTTTTCCCCCATCCTGATATTTGCTTATTTCTCTTTTGCTTGATGGTTCTTCTATTCACTTACTAAATACATTCTTTCACCCAAACCATTTGGTTATTTCTTCTCAGCCTTACTTAGTTTAGGGAAATTTTCTTTCTCTCCACATGCTACTTACACGCAAAAACTAATATATACATATATTTAAATAGGCGCCCCATTTCTTTTTATTAAATTTTGTATTATGTCTATTGTAGGATGGTGGCTGCACTTTTGAGGAATCTTAGTAAAAAAAAATGTATTCTTTAGAAATTGTTTTGTTTGCATTTTAGATATGAAGCAACTGATAGAAGCTTTTGAGCTTGCTGGTCATTCTCTGCAGCTGAGCAGTAAAGAACACTGAGCCACATGGTAGATTCTTCTACAATGGGGGGAGTCACCAGTTCAATCCTCGCCAGGGAACTTTACTAAGATTTCTCGAATGCACAGACAGATAGATTTAATACGTACTGTCTAATAAATAAAAATGGGGCATCTATTCAAATGTGTTTCAAGTTATATATATATATATATATATATACATACACACACACACACACACACACACAATACAGAAAAAAAACTTAAACCAATAAGTGTGTGCTCTGGAGTTGGATACTGAAGGTAACATCAATCAGTTAAGTGAAAAAAACTTATATATATATATATATATATATATATATATATATATATAATAAATGTGAATGTCAGTGTGTCACATTTTGACAACTAGAGGCTGTAGCCCAAACATATCATACCAATTTGGAATTGGGCCGACTCCATGAGCAAATTAAAAATACTCCGGGCTGGATCCAAACCCACTATCCTGAAATTTTGGATTCACAAATTTTCATTACTGTGATGGTTTTTGGAAGAAAAAAAATAATTTTTTTTTTTTTTTTTTTTTTTTTCCTTTTTACTTTTTTATTTTTTTCAAAAAATTTTCTTCTACAGTAACAATTTTTATAACTTGTAAATAAATTTGGGAATAATCAAAATTAATTGTCAACCAGTGAAAGTAATTAGAATTTTTTGAAAGGTGAGCTTAAATATTCATGCAACGATCAATTTTGAGTTCTTCTGTAGTTTATTGTTGCTTATTGCATCTATTCCTCTCTACCCATTGTGATGAAGGCCCAATCAGGAGCAAGTTTAAATGCTGCCTGATAAATTGGCTTTTAAGCTATATATATATATATATATATATATATATATATATATATATATGTGTGTGTGTGTGTATATGTATATATAATGGGTAAAATAGCAGGACAGACTGGGTTCTATAGCCTTGGATGGCAACTGGTCTAGGAGAAGGACAACTCTGAATTCAAAACCTGCACAAGGTCGTTTGGGAAGGTCATTGTGGCATTCGGTGCACCAGGTCTCTGTATTCGTCCCTTCAAAAAGTGTGGCTGGTCCTGCACGAAACCTTCACTATAATTAAATCTCATGTGCCGGTGTCGGGCTGTCAGTTTCCTGGAAACTGATCTGCTTGACCCTCATATGTCGAATCTCGACGGGAGAGTCGACTATATATATATATATATATATATATATATTTATTAAAGACATTTTTATGTTTAACGTTCTTTTTTATAGATACAAGTATTTAAGTAAATGCTGTTTATAATAAACAGTATTAAATAACATTTACCGGCCTGAATGTCCGAGAAATTTTCATAGAAAATATTCGTTCTTTGACAGGATTCGACCTTGTCTACTGAATGCTTCTTTGTGACCGATTGGTAAGGCACGTCAGCGTAAATGACGGTTCCGTATAGGATGCAGGCTTTTCCTTTTTCAAACATTTCATCCCAAGCAAGACAACAAAGCCACCAAGACACAATGGGTTTACTGAGTGTGAGAAAATAAGAGACAAAAAAAGCATTGAAAGAGAACAATGAAAGAACAGGAATTAAGATAACAGATAAGATTGACATTGCATTTAAATTTTTGAAAATCAAAGTTGATTGGAAAGCAAAAAATCAAAAGAGAATTCCATAAGAGAAAAGAAACTGTTAGCAAACAACTTACAGTTACATCTTGTGATTTCAAATGTAAAAAGATTTTAAAGTCATTACTGCAATATGGTTATGTCATAACGTTAACCATAAATTTATATTTTTCAATGTATCTCATTTTGGTTCTTTTATCCACCAGATATGGGTTGATAATATCTACATGCCAGTGTTAATGGACTATTTTATTCTTTGGTGATTTAAAATATTAATTTATTTTCTGGTGGATGATTTTTTTTATTTTTTTTTTTTTTTTTTTTTTTTTAGCAGAACAATTTTTTATTGATACAAGTTGTTCAATTGATAGTCTGAGTAAATTGAAGTTCACAGTGATTGGCAAGTTTCCAACTTCCCAAATTTGGGCATTCTGATTTAATCTTGCCCAGTTTTAGTCTTAGTAACAAAATAATGTTTTGTTTCTTCCTTCCTCCCCCTCTATGGCTTTACTGTTGACACTTCATAAATCTCTACAGTTTATTTTACGCTCTGCTAACTTAAAATTATTAATCAGATTTAGATAAAATATAAGCAGACACACACACACATATATATATATATATATATATATATATATATATATATGGTAGCAGAAATACCTCCCAGATAATAGTAAGAGATTAGTGGCAATGGTGTTTTCATCCAGCTAATGTCTTACCAATATATGGGAGATATTTCCGCTGCACTGTGGGTGTGTGTATATGTGTGTGTATATATATATATATATATATATATATATATATATATATATATATATATATATATATATAGATAGATGTGAGTTTGTGACCCTTTAGCGATCGTCAGACACGTGAAACCCAGGGTCACAAACTCACATCTATCCAACTAAATATGTTAGCTCTATCTCTGATATTGAGCGCTTTCTAATAAGTACTGCACATATAATATATAAATAATTATACATATATATATTTATTTATATTTATATACACTTTTTTCACATACATATATATATATATATATATATATATATATATATATATATATATAATATATATAATGGTTTAATTTTGGTTTGACTGTCAAAAGATTTGAAATTAGAAAATCTGATATTGAAAAAAAGTTGATTTTCAAATTTATGATATTTAAACCCCTTTTTAAAATGGTTGCATTTCTTCATTTATTAAACTAGTTAGAAGCATCAACTTTGAATTTTTAAATTTAGGAAACAAATATTTATAACTTCCCAATGGAAATTCTTCTATATCCGCTTGATATTCCTCTTATGTCGATTCCTCTGTATCCATTACTAATGTCTCCTTCCAATTTACATAAAGTAGAAATACCTTTAATCTAAATTACATGTCTTGATTTTGCCTTCTAGATCACGTAGAAGGGAATAGTTTGCTTTAGAGAACTAAAAAAAAACAAATTCTAATCAGGAGTTTATTCAAACTAATATCCTCCTTTTTATATAGTTTTCCACAATGTTTCTATGCACCTAAAGTGATATGCATGTGATACTATGGACAACCATACAGAAAAGGAAGATGTGGCTTTATCTCAATCTCAAGTGTTTCTGTTTAATAGCCAGCAGTTGGTCCTTTTTGAAGAGTAATTTTCTAAATGGCATCCATGTGAATAAGGGATTTTAGGGAATCAAGTGGTAATAAAACCAGAAAGTACATGTGGGTTCTGGTCTATATTAAGTCTTGCATGTCATCAGGGAGAGTTTTGTCCATCCTTGGCAGGAGACAGACTTGTTAGACACGTGGTTCCTATGATGTCCATTCATATTGCCAGCCATTATGTTGTCAGGATGAGTATGGATGGGTGAGGTGTTACTGGGGGGAAAGCTGAGCTGTTAGACCGACATAGGTGATACTTGAAATAACTTCTGCTATCTACCCACCCAGATGAACAGGTGAAGTTTTGAATAAAACATGTTTCATAATATTAGAAACATGGTTCTCGTTCTTATTTTTCAATGAGACATTTGTCTTTCATCATGTTACCTTGTGAGCATGCATTATTTATCTTTTTCTTGTTATATTTATTGGATACATATTGTGGGGGTGGGTAACATTGAAATTAGCATCTACCAGCCTGGAGACCAAAGGTAGATTTCCAGGTTAAAGAGAATGCAGGTTCAATTCCTGTTGATAAGCACATTTTCTTTAATAAGACTTTTAATCACTACACTAAATGTAACAACTACTGGAGGGGGGTGCAGTAGTAATATTTAAGAATCTGTTTTGCACACACTGCAACTATCATCATCTATTTTTTTTTTTTTTTTTTTTTTTTGTTTCACCCCAAGCAAGACAATAAAGCCACTAAGGTGCAAAGGGTTACTGATTATAAGAGAATATGAGAAATGGACAACATTAAGGAGAGAGAACAATAAAAGAACAGGAATTAAGAAGACAGAAGATAATGATTGACATTGCAATTAAATTTTAGAAAATCAAAGTTGGCTGTAAAGGAGTCCCACAAGCGAGAAGTGCAAGAGAAGAAACTTAGTATAGAACTTACTGTTACATCTAACCATATCCACTGTAAAATGATGAGACCTTGCTGCCAATCTAGTACTGTGTTTAAATTCATAAAGGCAACTGCCTGGGACTTTTGGTTATAAATATTTCAAGTATGACAATTATTATTCATTGTAGAGACTAATTTTTCCAATAATATCCTTTCTGCACTGCTATGTTTTTTCACTGCATTGATTGAAAAAAAAATCCATCTTTTGTCATTTGTTTGATCTTCTTATTTGTATGTAGTTCAAATATTTACGACTTGGACAGGCCATGTCACTTCCACAGAGTCAAATCATCCTCATTTCTTAAAGTCAAGTATCAGTCATCATCTGTTTTCCTTATCCTCTGGTGTATGGGCCACATCACTCCAGTTCCTATATGATCACAAAAGTTAAGCAATGTCAAGCCTGGTCAGTACCTAGATGGGTGACCACTTGAGTATAACAGGTGTTGGTGGTGTAATGGATAATGGCTCAGAATTGGAAATTGGAGAGCCAAGTTCCAATTTCAGTTGGGTTCATTATATTCCCTTATGTGCAAATAACCTAGGGAAAGGCATGAATCTGCCTCTTCTCTCCCCCAGCAAAGGGTTAATTAGTAAAACTTGTAGCACTAAACCATTATCAAAAAAGAAAAAAAAAACTTACAATCTAAAAATATTTTCTGACTTTAAATAACCTGCAAAGGGTTGATAAGCCATAGAAAACTAATTAGACAATCCTTATCCGCATAATCTTCACTTCCTATTACCTGCTCTTAAATTCATATCACACACCTCATTCAGTAACACTCTACCTTGAACAGCTCTCAAGACTTATGAATTTTAGTATTAAAAACAAAAGGTTTTACTTACAGTGAAGTATGAATTCTGGTGAAAGGGAGTTGTCATGGATGATTAGCTTAATTAATTTTATGCATTTTGCTTCTCCTCATCTCATACCTGCTGGGGTCAGTCTTATATTTAGAAATCTTATTTAATTAATAAATATATCTATATATTTTTATTTTGTACAGTTGGAATAGGGATTCATTTGAAAAGCAGACCATAGATATTTATAGGATCACTGCTTCCAGTTCAAATCTTACCATGGCAATTAATTTAGAGTATTTTCAGCCCCCTTCAAAACACGTAGATTTTTTTCAGCACTCTCACATGTTCAGATTAATTCTTTTGCTCCACTTTTATTTTTTTTTATTTTTTTTTGCTGCTATTCACTGCAGTCTTTAATGTGTTATTTATTGGATGTTGAACTTTGTTCTATTGGGTCATGCATGTTTTTTCTTGTCCAGTATATTTGCTCAATTTTGGAAACTTAAACTAAACATTTCTTTTCTAATCAGTGGATCCTATATATCTATGCTTGGTCTGCTGATCACATGATTTAAACAAGGTGATGATTCTTTCAACCTTCTTATTCTCCACTGCTGTCCTCTGTTAACTTATGCCTGTAGAATAACATGAAAATAATTAACTCCCCTCTCTATGAATACATGATCTGCCATTCCCAATTCTTAAGTGTCTCCACCAATTACAGCTTTCCAAAGTTACTCGAACCTTATTTTTAAAAGAGGGCAATTGCTGTCATTCCCTGCTACAACTGCACAAAATGCTGTAGATGCAGATTTTATTTTCTTTCAGTCAAGGTTTTGTGAGTAGCTGCAGAATATCAAAAGATAGCAATGAAGGACTAAAGAATTAATCCAGACAAAGCAATGAGGGGAATGACTTAAATGCCATTACTCTTCACAACTGGCTTTTCTTTAACCTCTGAATTGGTAGATTTTTTTTTTTTTTTTTTCATTTATTTTTTATTTTATTTTTTTTTTTTTTTTTTTTTTTTTTTAAAGATATTAGAGTGGTTTCCCATTGCCTTCTCAACAGTTTTGAATTCAAATTTGTCCTTTAGATTGGCTGCCAAGTTGGTGTTGCTATTTAACCCATAACTGGGAAGAGAAGTCTACACCAAATAACAATTGTTACCTACACAGCCATTCTCCAAAAACATTCAGTTAAAAATCATTCACTCATTGTTTATAAAAGCATTTTCCAAAACTTGTGATGCATTCCATGTTGTCACTGGATTCTAACATTACTGCATAGATGGTATTAACAAAAAGTTGATTTCTTTTTCTTACTCGTTTTTATTAAAGAAAAAGGGACAGATGTGACAGCTTGGATTCTAAGAGGCAACGAAAAGGAAATCAAAGGAACACATGTTCATTGGCTTAGCGTTCCCCTGCATGTGGTCTTAGTCTGTCTCTCAAACCTGGATGTGGGGAGGGTATTGGCACTTAAAAATTCTTGCAGTCCTCTCTTGCATTCATGCCATTTTGGACTTATACCTAGACAAAGGCAATTCATCACTATCATAAAACACACCCACAAGGTATTCTGACCAATCACTAACTATCCTGACTCTGGCCTTTACATTGTGTAACACTTTGGCAATTAATTTTTCTCATTATAAAAGACATGTTTTTACTTTCAATCAATTAATTATTAATTCATTGATATGTTGACAATAAAAGATTTTTTTTTTCTGCCCACCAAATTAAGGGCTCGTATCAAACTCGTATCAAACTTTGTCAGGCATTCCTAAGAATTTCTTAAGGAGTAAATTAAGAACGCCTAACTCTAAGTCTCTACAAAGTTTACACTTGCTTACAAGACAAACTTGTTATTCACTTGCCTTTATTTCTTCTCAAATTTACCTTTTATATTCATTTCTTACAGTGTGTCCATTTTCATTTTTGTCTTTATTTGGCTAGGTTGCTGTGATGATTGAAGATAATCAAAACCTTGAAACTAAAGTGGAAGAGTTAGAGAAGCGTCTGATGGATACCAACAAACTGGAAGCAGAGTTAAAGCAGTTGCAGCTCCGCTCTGAGAAGATTTGTCGTCGTTGTGGCAATGAGATCAAACCTTGTCTACCTGCAGGTGTCCTCGGCAAAGAGGTAGAACACGATGAACCATACATGACAAGCGAAGGAAAGGTGAGCAAATACTGATCTGACTAAAGTATTAAGTCATGATTAGTTTGTTGGTGTTCTCAAATGATACTAATGTATACAACACTAATATGCCTTTTAGTAGTAATTACTCTTTCTTTATCTGTTATATTAAGTGGATGGTAACAGAACAAAGAAGAAATGAACAATTGTATTGATGTAAATGTCTCTCGTTGAAAGAAGATAAGTGGAGTTGTAAAAGGAGTCTACAGAGGGAGGGTGAATTGGGATTTACTGTGTCTTTGGGATTGTCAGTTGTCTTTTGGAGATAGATCACTTTCCAATGAGCATTGTGAATCTGGGCCAAGATGCCATCTGACAGCCTAAAATGTTGCGTTGATGCATTTTTATAGCCTTTCTTAAGCTCAGATAAGCACTAGTTTTTATTTTGTTTTTGAGGTACAAGTGGGTGCTATTGGGTGGAAATTCTGGATTGTATTGCTTATTTTTTCTTTAAGTAAAAACAGAAGGTATGTGTAGAGCCCATGTGCAGTTGACAGAATTTTAGTTCAGTCTTGGGTTTCAGAGCATTTAGATCCAGCCAGTAGTGGGAATTAGTGTACCTTGAATCAGATCTGGTTTTAGGAAGAATGTAATGATGGTTCTCCTTCTGAAGCTATAAAGAATTAGTAGCAAAAGCTATAAAGGATATATTTAAATTGGCTGGAAATACCTGGATTTCTAAAATTAATGAAAATTATATACTTTATACCAATTGCTTTAAAAACCTGATGAAAATCTTTCCATTGGTCAATGTTTTTCCTGAGAAATAAAATAATCATATTCTAATACTCCTTAATTTGCATGACCATTACGCCCTGCCAGAACCTCATAAATAATGGAGTATTCTATTTTGATCACAAGCAAAGATGGTAAAGGCATGCCAGAAATGTTGATTGGTTTCAGTGAGAAAAAGATCAAAGAGGTGATAATGCTCTCATGAAATTAATGTCTGCTCCAGTGAAATGGAAAAAGTTGTCAGTTTCAAATCTCTCCATTTATACCCTCTTATTTTTTTAGTTAATGGCCTGCATTCATATTTATGATTGTTATTGCAATATTTTGTTAAATTTATTAAGTTAAAATATTTAATGATGCAGTAGGGTATTTTATAACCAGGGAACTCTCAGGAGTTTATTCAATCATGAACTTAAGAATCATCAGAAAATTCAAATAGGTAAACCATGAAACCATGAATGATTGTTTCTAGTTTATTTTACTTATATAAAACAAATACAGAACCTAGATTCATCCTGTTAGAATCTATTTTTAAATTTTCTTACTCCACAAATACTGTACTAATTTATGTAATTATTGTATGTTTGTCATTTTTAACAAAGGACTTAAAAAAAAAGTCAATTGCATCATTTCTTCATGTTCTTTTTCCATGAACAGAAGTTTAAACCCAGTTCGACAACTCCTTGCTGCTAACTGCTTGGCTAAAATAACTCCCTGCATCTTAGAGGTTTTATTGCCTTGCTTGGAGTGAAATGATTTTTAAAAAAAAAACAAAAAAAAAACAGCATTTACAATAGGACAGAGATAGAATTATATAAATAAGTCAACCAATTATTAACCACACTAAAGTTGAGTCCTTCATCAAAAGGTGAGATTGTGTGTATGTGAGATATATATATATATGGTGCAGTTGGAAAGGAACCTTGTATGTGTGTATAATACTTCATACATTCTTCTCATATAATTAACACATTAATGATTACATTAAAATAAAAAGATCATTATGTAATTCAATGATAATTCCCAAACCTCACACCAAGTAATGTTTTTAAAAACTACATGAAAGATTTAAATGAATAATGAAATGGACGAATATCCATTGCATCTAAATTATTTGTTCATAAACAGAGATGCATTTTAAAACGGAATAACAAATCAGAGAGCCGAATTTGAATTCCAATTAGATTTGAAGCATTCACTTACACACAAATTGTAGTGACCCCCCCCTCATTCCTTTCATATTCCTTTCATATTCCTTTGGTGTGATGCAGGTTCCATTCGAGCAGTTTCTTCTCATGAATCGCTGCTCTGTGGAACTGGCTCCGAAGAAGATGCTTTCCCGATCACTACAGTCTTGTCTTCCCCACATATCCCCATAAACTATGCCTCTTACTCTGTTACCCTCTAGCTCGAGTGGATCCTGGGACTTGTACATGGTGAACATCATTGGAAAAAATAAAAAAAAAAAACCCTTACAAAATGTAGGAGTTCATCTTCTCTTCTCTCAACTATGGGTTAAATAGTAGGACTTGTCTGAACAAATCATGGTTATTTGAAAAAAAATTGTTAATGCAATATTTACTTGTAAAAGAAAGAATTATTCTTACAATCCCAAATATGTTTACACTTTAAATAACCCACAAAGAGTTGGTAAGCAGTAGAAAATAAATGAAAAAAAAAACACATTTTAAAAGGTTGTAAATTTTTTTTTCTTTCTTCTATATATTTAAATATATAAATTACTTATTGATTGTGTACTGTCTTAAAGACAGTGATCCTTCATCAGATCCTATAGACTGTTACTACAAATTCACATCACTTAAACACTTCCAAAAGCAGCAGCAGCAACAACAAAAATGGGTACAATATGTAGCTAGAAGGGAAAATAATGATATAATCAAGATGTTGACTTCCAAACAAGGTTTACAAGGAAAATTGCATTTATATATTTAAAAAAAAAAATGTGATAATTCCTGAAACATTTATATATAAAAAGTTTTTAACTGACAGTAACACCAATGGTCAATGAATGAAAAATGTTCCCTGTATGGAAATGGCTATTTTTATCATTACCATGCAAAATTAAAGTTAGTAAATAATTATAAATTTCAAAGACATGGAATTTTCAAGTTTTAAAAGTTTAAATGAAGCCATGTAAATATTATAGGAAGGGGAGGTAATCCGTTACAAAGTTAAATGTGATAAGATAGATTGATAAACGTTTCCTATTTAAGATTTTCACTCTTATTAAAACTTCATTAGAGAATGAAATATGAAGAAAAAAGGAAAGCAAGTTTGGTATTTTTATTTTTAGGATTGATTTTAATTGGTTAATCACGTTTCATGTGCATTTTGACTTGTTAAACATTAGTATGATTTATAACGTTCTGAATTGTCAGATTCAGATCCATATTTGATCCCAATTTAAATGTATTTATTTAAACATTAATTTTTGCTTTGAACAATATATTATTGATCAATTGTAAGAATGAAAAATAATTTTTTCATTTGAATTGCCAGGTTGCCAGGTTAGAGGATGGAGGCAGTGTGTATGGCAGCAATGAGTCCATCCACAAGGTCCTTATGGAGACACGGGAACAACTGTCTGGAAATGGGGTCCAGTCGAACGTTTCCATCCTTAGTGAACTTGAGTCGCAGTATTACGCTTTGTGCCAGAAATATGAAGCTTTACTGCAGCACAAGCTTCGCCGGAGTCGGACTGGTGCCGACGCTGATGATGATGAGGCCGACCGAAATTTCCGCGTGTCACACAAGGAAGTGCAGACCCTCCTTGTTAACCTACACCGTTGTGTTGAAGTGAACACTGATGTTGGAGAATCTGTAACAAGCCCTCCCCCTTACCGGTCTCTATTCAAGGACATTTTTGCGACCCTGCGAAAATCACGTATTGAAGAATCTCCTGAACAACAAGCATCGGCGACAGCTGTGGCCACTGGTGGGAAGGAACCTCAGACACGATCAGCTACAAGCACGCCCCTGACCACTCCACTAACAGAGGATAATCCCATGATACGAAGTTCAAACACATGAGCCAGTAGGGTTGGGCACCACTCTGTAAAAGGTGCCTCTCCTTTTGGGCTAATTTTAAGCCAGTATACGAACTTGCCTATAAAGGAAAAATAACTGTTCGGTCAGCATTTCGTAGAGAACAAAAATGTTATTGTATAAAGTTTTGTTTCTTTGTTCTCTTTGGAAATCTTTAATTTTTGGAGGAAAAAAGAGAAAATGATGCAAGTTAAAAATGAAGAAAAAACTGACTTGGAGGCTTGTTTTGATCAGGATTTTATTTTTCGAATCTCTGAAAGTGTGCATGATTGTGTTTAAGGACTGAAGGATAGAGAACAAGATTCAGGTTAAATAACGAATTGCTAGAATTAGGCACAATGCAAGAGAAAAGTTTTCATTTCTTGAACAAAGAAAATATTTTCTTCACTTTTCAGATTGGTTAAGTATAAAAATTATCGTCTGAGTTTGTACCAAGGCCATTGGCCACTTAACTAATGTTGTAATATTTCGTTTTGGCAGGTGTTTTTATTTTTTAATTGTCGACCCCATTCTGTTTAGTTTCTAGTTTTCTTTTGTATAATGTTGCCCTGACATAGACTTGTAATTTTTTTTTCTTTTAATTAAAAAAAAAAAAAAAAAAATTTTTTTTTAATAATTTGAGCAAATCTCAAAAAGTGGAAGACAGAATTCCGCCAATATTGATGTCTTGTTAAGTAAGCAGTCATATATACCACCGATGTTGAATGTAAATATTTAAGTTAAACTGTCAATTTTTTTTTAAGCTGAAAATTTCCTTTTCTACATATAAAAAAATAAATTTCATTTTCCAATTTTTATACAGATTTTTTTTCTCTCCTGTGATTATCATTTTTTTCTTTTTATAACAAAATATTAAGAAATGCATAAAACAACACTTCTTTTATTGTATTTTTTATTCATTTTCTAAAAAAATTTTTTTTTTTTTTCCTCTCTCAGTAAAAGAAAATCGCAATTAGAGAAGTTTATTTATGATTTATTGGTGTCCAGATTTTTTAAAAAAGATGGGTGGGGAGGGTAACTAATTTTAAATATAAATTAAGATCCTTTGCTGGGGCACTCTAAAAACCAGTTTTGATTATAGACTTGCTCTCAAACATTTACCTTGCAGTAATTAATGCCATTTTTTTTTCTCTCTCTTATTAAAATTGAAAAAATATATCTTTTACTCACTAGAGATTCTATCTCTATCTGTCACTATCTCTATCTGTCACTATCTCTATCTGTCACTATCTCTATCTGTCACTATCTCTATCTGTCACTATCTCTATCTGTCACTATCTCTATCTGTCACTATCTCTATCTGTCACTATCTCTATCTGTCACTATCTCTATCTGTCACTATCTCTATCTGTCACTATCTCTATCTGTCACTATCTCATCTGTCACTATCTCTATCTGTCACTATCTCTATCTGTCACTATCTCTATCTGTCACCATCTCTATCTGTCACTATCTCTATCTGTCATATCTCTATCTGTCACTATCTCTATCTGTCACCATCTCTATCTGTCACTATCTCTATCTGTCACTATCTCTATCTGTCACTATCTCTATCTGTCACTATCTCTATCTGTCACTCTCTATCTGTCACTATCTCTATCTGTCACTATCTCCATCTGTCACTATCTCTATCTGTCACTATCTCTATCTGTCACTATCTCTATCTGTCACTATCTCTATCTGTCACTATCTCTATCTGTCACTATCTCTATCTGTCACTATCTCTATCTGTCTATCTCTATCTGTCACTATCTCTATCTGTCACTATCTCTATCTGTCACTATCTCTATCTGTCACTATCTCTATCTGTCACTATCTCTATCTGTCACTATCTCTATCTGTCACTATCTCTATCTGTCACTATCTCTATCTGTCACTATCTGTCACTGTCACTATCTGTCACTATCTCTATCTGTCACTATCTCTATCTGTCACTATCTCTATCTGTCACTTTTCTCATTGCTGGTATTAAATTTAAAAAGAATTACCTCCCCTACAGCTTCTACATTTAAATAGGATTTTTATTAAAAAAACAAAACTGTGAGTGTGTGTGCGTACGTATGTAATGTCACCATTCAGCCTACGGTCAGTCTTGTGTCCTTACTGTTTAATGCATTTACTTCTCTTTTTTTTGTGTCCAACACAAAAAAAGACGTGCAATTGTGTGATAAGGGACAAACAAACCATGTCTGACATTTGTAGTTTCCCAAAAAGTTAATAAAACAAACAAGATTTTTCTCGTTCTTGTGTATTTTGTCTTTTCATGATCTGTCATTTTCACATTCCTTTCCTCTTTTTGGCTCATGATTTATTGAATAGTATATTTGGCTGTTGATAAATTTCTTATAAAACACATTAATAGAAATTCAAAAATCTCATTTTCTTTATCCTAAATTGACAAATTTCCGTTTCAATTTTCTGGGTCAACCATCAGTTTTTATTGTATTTTTTTTTTATGAGAAAATACATGTTTTACATTTTAGTCTTTTTGCTATGAAAAAAGAAAAAAAAAATCCTTTTTGTTTTAAAAGACAAATTTAAGACTAAGCTCACAACCAAAAATCTTAGTGATATGTGTGATAGTGTTTTTTTGTTTTTTTTCCTTGATACTATTATTTTAACACCCTTCACTTTTCATTAATTTTGATTAAAATTGTAATAAAATCTAAACATATGAAAGTGAATTTATATATTTTCTTTCTTCTTGAGAATTGACAACAAAAATAATCAACATTATTTATTAGATTGTTTATTTACATTATGTATTGTTTATTCAAATGGTTGGTAAAACATTGGCTAATTGCCAATTGATACAAACTTTACAAAATAGTAAATAATAAGGATTTCATATTTTAATTTAATAAATGTTTATAAATTTATGAATAAAAAATTGTTTTCAAATTATTTCTTTATAAATTGATAAATATTGCATTGTATTAGTTTTTAGAATGTTGCAAGTAAATAAGCAATCTCAATAAGTAGTACTTAATATTTTTGTTGTAAATTCTCAAGAACCAAAGTAATGTATGAATTCACTTGACTACTTGGGAAAATCAGGTGCGTTATAATCATGGATGTGTGGGTGGCGTAAAGGATAATGGCCTGGAATGAGAGAGCTGAGTTTGTTACATATACTTACACGTAAATAACTTTGGGAAAGGTATGAATCCACCTCTTCTCCCCTCAACAATGGGGGTGGGGATAGTGGGATTTGTATTTGAAAATCATTATATTTTTAATTTATGGGAGATAACAACTTGAAAAATTTTGGGATTGTAAATTTTTTTCATTTTTTTATTTTTTTATTTTTACAACTTTAAAATAACTTACAAGGGGTTGATGAGCCATTTAAAAAACAAAAAACACAAATCCATCAACACAGAGCTCAAGTGAGCTTTTACAAATGATTGTTTATTTGGTTTATTAAATATTCTTAAACTGAAGTGACCCCCCCTCACAAAAAAAAATTAAAAAAAACAGTAACTCCTACCTCTATGTTTTAAGGCTCTCTATAACTGAGGTTTGTTGGGTGTGGTTACAGGAAATTTAGTAAGGTTTGCAACATGTCCTATATATGTTCAATGGGGTTTAAATCTGTTGAGCAGTTAGTCCCTCTATGTCAGCTGAACATGTTCCTGATACTAGTTTCATGTCGCCTATACCCAATGCGGAAGGGTTGTTGGATCAAACCCTCAGACCTGTGAAATAGGATCTGTGTATGTCACAATTATCATGACACTCAACAGAACTTACTCCACACCATTACAGAGCCTACACGAGCTTGCACGACACCTTGTTTACCAACTGGTTCCAAAGCTGCATGCAGTCTCCTCCACACATGAACTTGGTTACTTAAAAGAACTGGAAGTATGTGCTATGGTGCCAGTTTTCTACAATCCAAAGCTACACTCTTTCTGGTTGAGGCAAAATAGTACCCATTACCATGGTGTCAATAATGGTACCCTTGCTGCTCAATGTCTACAAAACCATGGAATGCTGTGTATGCTGCCTAGTACATTGATTGATCTGTTGAACAGATTTGAATTGGGATGGGATTTGATGTTCCATACATTTGATCATTACCATCCACATCAGTCACCAAGAGTCCTGTACTTGCATCACGCATGAGCACCTGCAGTTTTCACATATTAGTGATGTCTGTCTAGAATTCACATGTATAGCCTTGTGACTTGTCCAAGAAAAACTCTCAGCATTTGGTGCTTCAATGCCCCCATCTTTTTTGCTTTAACAATCATTCTGCAGTCAAATGATGTATTCGGTCTACACCGTGCCTGCCACAGCTACTATACCTCTTTACTTATCACATCACACATTATCTGAAAAAGGCAATTCCTGCAAATTGGATTATGTTTAATGGCATATGGACACTTATTGTATCCCTGCAGGTAAAGTGGTGAATTCATGTTGCACTAGTTAGTTTCTGGGATGGGCAATTATTACTTACATGTGGATTATTCGTTTCTTTTTTTTTTTTTTTTTTTTTTTTTTTTTCCTCCTCCTCATTTTTGTTGCTATCACATTTTAGCTGTTTTGATTGTCAACCTGGGTAAACTTCAGGGTAATCTGAACTCAACACATTACAAGGATAGATTGTTCTTGTTTTGACATCTATGTTGAGGGATATCTCATCTAGTTCTTACTTAGTACTGCTCTCCTCATTTTCCACCGTGTCCAAGTGAACTTGCAATTACTATGTCACTGAATTAACTGACCAATGCTTTCATCCAATAGGCTACTGAACCGAAGATTAAATTCAGTTCAAAATTCATTGAAGGTTACTTGAAGTGACAAGGTCATCTGATGAAGGCCAGAAGGCACAATGGACAAAAGATTGTGATAACAATAAAGATGGGGACAATAGTCTGAATGTAAATTTGTTATTATTTAAAAGTGTGGTAAGAGATAAAATTTGAGGTGTATTTCTATTTTTATATTTTTGAGTATAGACGTACTTTCATTATTTT